ATAACTTTACAGAGTTATTACTCACTGTGGGTTAAGTCGATATAAGGTCTCAGATGCCCACCTATATAAATCACATAACAAAAACACAATAGAAGCACCATTCAATATTCATTTCATTTCAATTCAACTCTCTTTATGTGTTTCTAGTTTATTCCATGACTATGTGAGTCTAATTGGTGCCTAAGAATCCTTAGAATGTCAAGAGGATACAAATATGCATTTAAAAGAGTTAGTAAAAAATTGCTGAAAATAAGGTTTCCGCTCGAGCGCCACTTTGGTTGCTCGAGTGGATTGTAAAATTTTGCAAAACTTCTGGGAGCTCGATTATCACGCTCGAGCGAGACTTCCCTCGCTCGAGCGGACAATGTGAATTCTGGAATTTCTAGAATTGTAATTAAAGTTCAAATTTGATATTCAAAGCCTCAAAACTTTGTATTTTTGGTACAAAAATATGGAGAACCAACATATAATTTAGTAAACACTCTCAATTAGAAATCATTTATTCAAAGTCATGCTCTAATTGTCCAAATTTAGATTTAACTCATTTTCTTTATATCAAACCCACAATTTTAAAATATGAATTAAACTTTCCAAACCCTTGAAAATTTCATGATGCATGTAAAAATAGAAACCAATTTCATTATTAATAACAAAATCAAACTTAACTAATGAATTACAAAATCAATTCCTTGGAATTTCAACTTAACTCAATCTTTAACCAAAAATTCAATTTATAATCATAGATGTTCTAAAATGTGTTTAAATTGAATAAAACTTTTAAATTTAATTACATGCATGGATTAAAGTCTAGAATCAAACAAACTCCTAATTTTCAAAGCTTTTCTTTTTTCTTTTCAAAATATGGGATTGAATTAGTTCAAACTCTTCAAAATCTATGATGCATGTACAATTAGAGTATTAAAACTTACAAAATTTGTTCATGCATGTAGAAATGGTGCTCAAATTCATACAAGACTACCAAAATTAAACTCAACATAATTGATTTCTGAATTGATTTCCATAATTGTGAATGTAATTTACTTTCATTATCTTCTTGCTAATTTTGTTCTAATTGTATGAAATTGAAGCACCAAAACCCTTGAAAAATAATGATGCATGTAAAATTAGAACTCAAATTCATCAAAGGTGACTAAAATCATACTCAAAAGATGAGCTTCTAAATCAATTCCTTAATTCTTGAACTTAACTTAATTTTCTTCATTCTTTTCCTTGATTCCCTCATATCATATATATTTAAACTCAATTACCTCATAAATTTAGGTGTTGAATATATAGTCCCTATTAGTCCTCAAGATCTTTCTTTATCTTTAATTCTTAGCTTTCCATCAAATTCCTTCCAGCAAAAAATTGAATAGGCTTCATCTCTCTCTCTCTCTCTCGGATTTTTTTTCCAACCGAACAGATTGATGAATAGCTTTAAGGCTCTAACTCTTCTTGATTTCATTTATTCCATTATTTTTATTATTATATTAAAACAAAATGGTGGGACACTTGTCCACCTTAAATTAATCCATGTGGTGATGTATGTTAGGATTAGTTTAGCACACTAATTGTAGATTAGCTTAATTAATCATAACTAATTACATTTCTCACATAATTTAATTAGCCTAATTTGACTTCCATTAAGGCCCCATTAATTATATTTAATCTTTACCATTCTGAATTTGATTTTTAATCAAACTCCCAAAAGGCTCCAAATATTAAATTAAATTTATTATCATTATCAATTTTGATTTCCCAAATCATTTAGGCCTTCAATTTCTGATCAAACTCAAATTTCCATCAATAAATTACATATTCAAATTGGATACCTCATAATTAAATTTAATTTATAATAATCACAATTCCTAAGCTTCATAACTTGATCAGCTCTAATTCGGACCCAATTAATAACCTCAATTTTACTAAACTGAATCGAATATTTAATTAAACTCCCAAATGAGTCCGTAATTAAAATTAAATTGACTCGATTTCTTAATTTCACTTTCTTAAGCCATTTGGACCCTAAATTTCTAATTCCAAAATAAATCTTCAATAAAATCATATACGAATCAGGTTCCATAATTCTCATAAATTCCAAATTAAATTAGGAGAACGACTAATTAAAATCCCAAATCTTCTTAATTAACCAAATATAAATATTATACGTGGCGGGGTTGTCACACTCCCACAATAGTGTAGCACTTAGCTCCACACAATACTTTGCTCCACACCAGAAATCAGAGGGCTAGTGGATCCATGACAACAGAGGGTCACTTAAAATGACAACAGAACAGAACAGAGGGTCACATAAAATGACAATTCAAAGGGCCAATGGTTATTTAAGTCCCCTAAGGCATAGGACCTCCGTGGTGGTACTTACAAAATAATTATGCAAAACAGAATTCTGGAATTTCTAGAATTGTAATTAAAGTTCAAATTTGATATTCAAAGCCTCAAAACTTTGTATTTTTGGTACAAAAATATGGAGAACCAACATATAATTTAGTAAACACTCTCAATTAGAAATCATTTATTCAAAGTCATGCTCTAATTGTCCAAATTTAGATTTAACTCATTTTCTTTATATCAAACCCACAATTTTAAAATATGAATTAAACTTTCCAAACCCTTGAAAATTTCATGATGCATGTAAAAATAGAAACCAATTTCATTATTAATAACAAAATCAAACTTAACTAGGCCTATGGTCGTTCTGTATCTGTTAGGCCTATGGCCGTTCTGTACATTACTGGGCTTAAAACCACTCTATTAAGAAAACTGGACCCATGGCTGTTCTGAAAATGATTACAGAATGTAATTTAACCATATGTCTCTGCAAATAAATGCTTTATTATTCAAGTTAAACATTACATTATTCATGTACCCTTATTCACTGAGTTTCACTCATCCTGTATTTTGTCTGTTTCTGTAGGTAAGCAACTGAGAGACCAGTCCTAACCCTTAAGGCCCGTCTCTCTCTTGTCAACCTCGGTGTGTCCAGGCACTTAGCTGAAGCCCGTTCATTTTGTAAACTTTTGTTAGATTCTTGGCTTATGCTTTGGTCGTCTTTCAGTAATGTTTTTGTTATACGCCCAACTGTGGGGCTGAGTCGAAGTATGTGCATGTACATTTTTTGTATATTATTTACCTTATGTGGTATTGGCAATCCTGGCATAATAAAAGTAGCTCAATGGAATAGACTTTCGTTATCAGGTGCTTCCGTTCAGGCCCCATATATTACATATGTCGGTTTTATGTCATCTTGAAATCTGGTCATGCCCAAAACTTTTTGGGGCGGGTTTGGGGCGTGACACATTTGTCCATATGAACTTCACATTCTTGCGGGTCAACTTGGTCATGGGTGCTGCAATAGTGGAAAACTTCTCTATAAATCTTCTATAATAACCAGCTAGTCCTAAAAAACTTCTCACCTCTGTAGGGTTCGTGGGGTACTTCCATTCTTTGACCGCAACAACTTTTTCAGGATCCACCGCTATTCCTTAATTGGACACAACATGCCCCAAAAATCGAACTTCTTTCTCCAAAAAATGACACTTACTGAACTTCGCGTATAATTGTTGCTCCCTTAATGTCTCCAATACCACTTTCAAGTGTTCTTTGTGTTCCTCCTCATTCTTAGAATACACCAGGATATCATCTATGAAGATAATCACAAACTTATCTAAATATGGTTGAAAAATTCTGTTCATCAAGTCCATGAAGTAGGCAGGAGCATTGGTCAAACCAAAAGGCATTACAGGAAATTTGTACAACCCATATCGGGTCCTAAAAGTAGTAAGCAGTATACTTTCCTCTGACACACCCATCTGATGGTAACCCGTTCTGAGATCAAACTGAGAGGAAATGGTTGCACCCTTCAACTGATCAAACAAATCATCAATTCTAGGTAGTGGATACTTGTTCTTGATAGTCACCTTGTTCAGCTCTCTGTAATCTATGCACATACGAAGAGCGCCATCTTTCTTGGAGACAAAGATCGTAGGTGCTCCCCACGGGGAGTTACTTGAACAAATGAACCCTTTCTGAAGCATCTCTTCCAACTGCTTCTTCATCTCCACAAGTTCTTTAGGCGCCATTCTGTATGCCGCCTCAGAAATTGGTGCAGTTCCTGCCATTAGGTCAATGCGAAATTCTACTACCCGTCGAAGAGGAGGTCTAGGTATCTCCTGAAATACATCTTCAAACTCACGCACCACATCTACCTCACCAATATCCTGCTTAGGAATTTCTACCGAGCACAAAAAACTCGTCATCACCGACTCTTCTCCATCGCTAGAAGTGTGGGTAAGCCGTGGCATACCGGGAATATCTATATTTACAGTCCTTCCAGCACAATCTAGAGTTACAAAGTATTTTCACAGCCAATCCATACCCAAAATAATTGTGAACCCTTCAAACCCTAACACAATTAGGTTTGCATATAAGACTCTACCCGCAAAGTCAATCTCAAAATCTTTACACATCTCATAAAGAGTAACTGCCCCTCCTAAAGGGGTCTCAACACGAATAGGTCTAGACAAGGAGGTAGTGACAATTTGTTCTCTTTCTACAAACTGTCTAGATATAAAAGAATGAAAGGCACCCGTATCAAAAAGAACTCTAATGGGTTCTTGAAAGAGATTAAAAGTATCTTGCACTTTGTCAGTTCCTGGCATAACTGCAAATGCCCTGGCTGGAGCTGCTTGACCCTGTCGTGCCTGCTGTCTCTGAAGGTAATCCTTGATTACACGTCCTAACTGCTGACACCCAACACATTTCCTATTGATCGGTTGAGGTGCTACTGGTCTGATAGGTAGGGGTCCCTCCAACTGAGGTACAGGAGGACGATAACCCAACTATGGCACTTGCTGCCGCTGTCCTTGATAGCCCTGGGGGCGCGGGCCACTCTCTCTCTGATAATAGTGCCCTTGAGGCCGAAAATTGTCCTGAGGTCTAAAATTTCCCTGACTACCTTGTTGTTGTGGCTTCTGAAACTGCTAACCCCTATGCCTTTGGTCATAGGGTCGGTATCTGTTCCCATCCCGCTGTTGGAAGTGACTCCCTCTAGAAGTCTCTCCGGCCTTGGCATTCCCTTCTTTAAACTGCTTCTTTTTTTCCTCATACTTTAGTGCCAAGTCAAAAACTCTATCAAACAGTTCAGCATCAAAGGGAATAAGGGACTTAGACAGGTAATGATTCAATCCCTTAATAAACTTCTCATTCTTCTTCTCCTGCGTGTCGATCAAGTAAGGGGCATAACGGGACAACTCATTAAACTTGGTGACATACTCGATCACTGTTCTACCCTCTTGAGTCAATTTCGAAAATTCATCACTCAGTTGAGACCGAATAGCAGTAGGAACAAACTTCCAGTCAAAACGAATCTTGAAATCTGCCCAAGTCAAAGTCGTCAAGTCTAGACCCTCCTTCCACGAGTTCCACCAAAATAAGGCTGCTCCCTCAAGCTGATGTGTCGCCAGCTCCAGTTTTTGGACCTCGGTGAGCTGCATACGACCAAACACAATCTCACATCTCTGAACCCAAGCGTCAACTGCAATAGGTCCTCCATCTCCAGAGAATTTTTGGCCTCCCAAAGAACCAAAGTCTTTGTTTCTCTTCGCAAAAGGATCTCCCTATTGGCCTTGATTATTATTCTGCACCACCTGAAGTAATTGAGCCATCATCTCTCCCACATTAACCGGCACCGTATTGGTTGCCTCTGTAGCAGTCGTCGCTACCGCTGCCGTTGCCGTTGCCGTTGCCGCTGCGTTAGCAGCTGTTCCTTTCCCTATGCCATTGGACTCAGTACTTCTCAAATTATACTTTCTAGCCATTACCTTCAAGTTAACACACAAGAAGAATTCGTTCATGAATACTTAGAATAAATTCAACCACCAACCTCAACCAGCTAACCCATGTTCCCACAATCCGAGGATCACCTAAACTCTCACAAGTCTAGGGTAACCTAGAGCTCTGATACCAAACTGTCACGCCCCAAAATTCGGACAATTAAATATTATATTAAAACTAACCCTAATCAATATTCCATCATCCAAATCTTAGGGGTGAAACAAAAAAAACTAAACGCAAACCAAACCATCCACCATAAATTCATAACTAACCAATACCTCAATATCAAGGTAACAATAACTTGTCAACACAACTTAAATAAAGTACGGTTACAAACCATGAAAACAAAAGAAGTCCAAACAACATATCCAACTCTATAGTAAATCCACGTCACCACCAAAGCCTCTACTAATCCTGCAAAGGAAGCTCAGCTGCGCTCAAACAGAACGCACCCTAGTTGGCAAGAGACAAAACAGGTCAGTATACAGGTATACTGGTATGAGTACAAGATGTAACACCCATGTGTCTACCAGACGCAAACCAAAATACATTAAATTCTTACTACGGAACAAGACAAGTAGTTCCAACCGCACCGAGACGAATGGGTAATTTTCTGAGATATGATGGCATTTAGTTTCTTGTCCGTACACAACGTAATATAAATTGATTATAAAATAGACAAAATAGAAATAAAAATATAGTGGGTCAGCCCTGCATAAAAAGTTAGTAAGACCCACCATCCTGCAAAACAAATAAAGTTAGTATAATTTAATCATAAGTAACTTGTTGAAAAAAAAATATAAAATTACATCGTTTTATACTTAAATAATTCGAATTGATCAAAACTCAAAGAACGAAAGTTGTACAGAATCAAATTTCCTAAAAGACAACGTGAACGAATTTAACAGAACTGAACAGGATAAGAGAAAAACTTTATATAAAAATCTAGACAGAATTCAATCGAAAAATCTGAAGCTGAAAAAGAACAAAAACTACCCTAAGATGATTTTCTTCCAAAAAAAAATTCAAATCATGAAAAGTGTGCAGAATAACATTTTACATCAGTTTACGCGAAACCAATAAAAATGAGCTCGTTTTGTGGGTTAAAACAGCCTATAACATCTACCTTACCAAAAGGAATCAAACCGATAATAACCAATGTCATCCGATTATAAGTTCTAATCGATCTTTTTAATAAAAAGCTACAACACAAAAGTTAACCAAAATCACGTATACATGCCTCTCCTCAAATCTCATAATTTATTGAGGTCGATTACTATATTTCAAAATGTACAAATCAATAAACTCATAATTAAATTTTTGTACCTTAACTCCACCACTTCGGCCCTCCCCTTCCGGCCTACACATATATCCCATGTGCCTCCCGTATACCTAACACCGCTCCAAAGCCAAAACTGCACAGAGATATCGTCCGAGTTTGACTCACACTCCCCGGATAGTTAGCATATACGTACGCGTGCAAATCAAAGCACGTCTACTCATGAGAACGAGCAACAATATATATATACACAACATCTCACACATGAGAATAAACATAACAATGCCGAGCCTAAGGCATTCAAATAAAATCTCATAATCCTTACTTTTTGTTATACAATCTTTCTCACCATCACTCAAATAAAACAACAATCCATGGAGTCATGGTGGAGTATAAGGAATTTATCTATTGGTTCTTAATTAATTTTCATGTCATATAACCATATTAATTTTAGTTTCATATAACCATGAAAGTGATTACAACCATAAAATAAATCCATATAAAAACCCTAAATCTGACATAACAATTAATCAAAATAATTAAAATTAATCTCTCATCTTTATGTAAACACAAAATCGAACTAATATCAAACAAATAGGAAAAAAACAAGAATTAAACATAAATCAAGGGAAGTGGGTTTTGTACTCATAATATTTTATTGAATATCAAAGAATATTTAGAAACTACTAGAGTCACCAAAACAAAACTCTAATCTTTCCTTTTCTTCCCTCTCCTCTTTTTTCCTTGCTACCGCCCCTTTCTTTGTCTTCTTTGATTTCTCTCTCTCTCTCTCTCTCTCTCACAACTTGGTCTCTCTCTTATCCTTATGATCTCCTAAACCTAGTTGAATACTTCTATGTTATCATATATATAATAACCTAAGAGCTAGTATAACCTAATAATCTTATACTATAAACCTAAATCTCAATATATAATAGCTTAATAAACTATAATATGCAGTAAATTTAATAATTACAACCTTAAATGCCTTAAATATCACATTAAACATTATGTAACCACCCAATTAATAATTACATCATTAAATCCATTAAATATCACATTAAATCTTATGTAACCACCTAATTAATAATTACAACATTAAATCCATTAAATATCACATTAACTCTCATGTGACCACACAATTAATAAAGTCAAAAATAAAATAAAATAATAATAACCATAATAATAATAAATACTGACTAAAGAAAATTAGGGACGCTACAAACTTGGTCCTGAGACCCACATATATAGTTAGTACGGACGACCATAAAGGTCCATATCTTGAGCGCAAGTAGGTCCATATCTTGAGCGCAAGTAGGTCCATGGTATTGTTACCCCCAAGCAAATGCCACATGAATATAGGCCTCAATATTGTTACCCCTGGGCAAAGGCCATGTGAATATAAGCCTCGGTATTGTTACCCCCGGCTATAGGCCACATACATATTAGCCTCGGTATTGTTACCCCCGGCTATAGGCCACATACATATTAGCCACGGTATTGTTACCCTCGGGCGAGGGCCACGTAAACTATGGATGCCACAAATACATTTTAGAAAAATATACATTCATTCATGATTCATAAAATAGGATTTCAAAAAACAGATCATATTATTGCAGTAATAAAGTACTTATAATCAAACATAACTTTACAGAGTTATTGCTCACAGATGGCTCCAAAGCAAACAGAAAGAGTAGACAAATCAGATAACTTGTGGCGCGTGACCTACACAGATACAGAACGAATACGTACAGAATTAAACACCCAGAATCATTAACTTAGTTCTTTCTTATATTGGTGTGTTATACCTCTTTTCCTCATTATTCCATCTTAATTAGGGCTTAGGAATGCCTAAGATGCATTGAGGATGCAAAAATGCATTTGACAACACTTGGTCAAAAATTCTAGAAACAAGACTCGAGCGGAGATGAAAAACGTGAGTGGTCGCTCAAGCGATCTGTAAGCTTTGCAAAAGTATTGGTTGCTCAATTTTTTTGCTCGATGCTCACTCGACGCTTGCTCAAGCGTAAAGTCCTCACTCGAGCGCAACTCTTGTCGCTCGAGCGGTCTGCAAAAACATAAAACTTCTAGGAGCTTGCATTTCATGCTCGAGCGAACTTCTGGTCACTCAAGCAGAAGTGTAAGATCACAAAGTGGTCGCTCGAGTAGAGAAGCAGAAATTAGAATTTCCATATTGCACTCCCTAGCTCAAAACTCGAATTCAACCCTTTAAAACAAAACTCTTGGGCCCCAAAACTTGAGGAAACAAGTCTAAACTTGGACAACATAAAGAATTAAAGATCATTTCATGAAATCAAGGTCCATAAGTGTGTCAATTATACAAACTCAAGCTTGAATTGTAAAAACATAATACAAATATGACATGCATGGAGTGATTTAAGCTCCAAGTTTCCAAATCATGAGCAAATGAGATATTTAGATCAAAAAATTGCTGAATTCCTTAAACAAAGCCAAGATATGGACATGCATGTAGAAATTCTTGAAAATCAACTTACAAAATTATGAGAATTATGTATTCAAGCATAAGATGCTTTTCTTTCCTACTTCCTTAGTGCAATTTATGCAACCCATGGCCCAATTTCTTGAATGCATGTACTAACCAAGTAAGTTACAAGACTAAGGGCTTGATTGTTTACCTTCACTGCTTAATGGTGTTCTAGAGGCTCAATTGCTTGAGTTTCCAAATCCAAACCTTCAACTCTTTACAAGTCCTCTTCCAATTCTTGAGTTCAAACACTCTCTCTCTAGGCTTCCCATTCACTCTCTCACGTTTTTGCTCTCAAGGAGGTGAAATGAAAGTGTAAAAATGCACTCTAGAGCCCACTCATGCCTTATATAGGCTCAATTATGAAGGCTTATTTAATGGTTAACCAATTAACATTATTTACTCTAATTTAATCGTTCCAAATCGAATTTCAATTGAACCTACCATAATGTTCTAAAAATTCCAAATAACACATATACCAAGTCAATTTTGTGATCGAATGCCAATAAGGCATTCAATTCGTAAAATATAACAGAATTTCAAACAGATATTCTTACAAAAACAGATAGAGACCCAAATAATGCAATGCACAAATAATTAACTCAGGATTTCATCTTAATTACGTATTAGGCTTATTTAATCATGGATTAACATTAATCAGAGGTCGGGGTTGTTACACTTGGAAACAAGACGTCCATTGTTCTTAAGCACCATTGGAGAAAACAAAATTCTGTCTTAAAGACACAACGTTCAAACACTGGCCTCAATCATAAATTTGTTCATAAACCATCTACAGAAGTATTGTAAGGTTTAATTTTGTTGTTTACTTTATTTATTTTACTTGCTTTAATTAATTATTGCTAAAATTATCTCCAACAATTTTAAGACAGAATTTTGACACTGTTTTCTATATTACAGTATTGATTTTTCGGTTAAAATTAGTTTTTATCAAATTTGTTTTCTTATATACAACGTATTAGAATGCTGGGTTTATATTGTTTGGTTTATTTATTACACATTTGTTTATTAATATTTATCCAGATTTGTATTTGAGTATAACTCAATTTCGGTTAAATTTTAGTTTTAAGTTTAAAGAATCCTACAGTATTTATTTCTGGGTTTACTATTTTTTTCCTTGGGTTTCGTTTACAGTAAAACACTAGTTTGGATTTCTGTATTGTACGATTATTTCTTATTTA